TGTGTGTGTGTGTGTGTGTGTGTGTGTGTGTGATGTGTGTCTGGACACCTGTGCATGTGTGTGTGTGTGTGATGTGTGTCTGGTCACCTGTCTGTGTGTGTGTGTGTGATGTGTGTCTGGTCACGTGTGTGTGTGTGTGTGTGATGTGTGTCTGGTCACCTGTGCATGTGTGTGATGTGTGTGTGATGTGTGTCTGGTCACCTGTGCATGTGTGTGTGATGTGTGTCTGGTCACCTGACTCTGTGTGTGTGTGTGTGTGTGATGTGTGTCTGGTCACCTGTGTGTGTGTGATGTGTATCTGGTCACCTCTGTGTGTGTGTGATGTGTGTCAGGTCACCTGTGTGTGTGTGTGTGTGTGAGATGTGTGTCAGGTCACCTGTGTGTGTGTGATGTGTGTCAGTCACCTGTGTGTGTGATGTGTGTCTGGTCACCTCTGTGTGTGTGTGTGATGTGTGTCAGGTCACCTGTGTGTGTGATGTGTGTCTGATGTGTGTCTGGTCACGAGTGTGTGTGTATGTGTGTGATGTGTGTCTGGTCATGTGTACGTGTGTATGTGTGTGATGTGTGTCTGGTCGTGTGTGTGTGTGTATGTGTGTGATGTGTGTCTGGTCATGTGTGTGTGATGTGTGTCAGTCACCTGTGTATGTGATGTGTGTCTGGTCGTGTGTGTGTGTGTGTGAGTGATGTGTGTCAGGTCACCTGTGTGTGTGTATGTATGTGATGTGTGTCTGGTCACGAGTGTGTGTATATGTGTGTGGTGTGTGTCTGGTCATGTGTGTGTGTGTGATGTGTGTCAGGTCACCTGTGTGTGTATGTATGTGTGTCTGGTCGTGTGTGTGTGTATATGTGTCAGGTCACCTGTGTGTGTGTGTGATGTGTGTCAGGTCACCTGTGTGTGTGATGTGTGTCAGGTCACCTGTGTGTGCTGTTGAGGAGGAGGACGTCACTGCATCCCCTGAGCATCAACCAACCTTGATCTTGTTGTTTTCTACAGGAGACATGGGGGACAAAGGACAGAAAGGCAGTGTGGGTCGCCATGGAAAGATTGGTCCCATTGGCTCAAAAGGTATTTGTGATGCGATTCTCTCCTCATCCCCCTGCCCAGGCTCATTGTTGACACTGGACACCTGAGATGGCCATGGGCTGAACCTGCCCCCTGCTTCTTGCTCATTCGTGTCATGCATGAATGGTTCTGTCACACTTGCCCTTCAGGTGCGGCTAGCTCAGAGCAAGTGGCTGGTTCTGTGCCCAGGGGGGTGAGGGCTCCCCATTTGGCAGGGCTTACCCTATGCCCAGCAGGAGGCTCTGAGCAGGTGCTTGAGCCAGATCTTGACCTCCTAGCTGCAACTTCTGTAATGAGTTGGTTAAAGCCCTCAGAGCCTCTTTTAAGTGACTGAGGGACCAAGGTGGGAAGCAGCACGTCTCTGTACCCACGGTGTGGGGTCCTGACTTTTTGAGATGATAGGACGGCTCTCAGGGAGGACAGGGTGTGGAAGGCAGTAGGTGGGCCCAGGTAATACCCATAGCTTCAAATCCCAGCATCTCTGTGGCTGCATTTGACTCACACCACATTGGTGAGGAGGGTGGATCGGGTCACGCTATCCCTGTGACGAGGACAGTTCAGGGGCCCCTCACAATCGCTCTGCCCTCAGTCCCTGCTCACCAAGTCAGCATGCGTCCTCTTAAGTGCCGGTTTGTTCCTGCCTGTGCGGGGGTCTCCCTCCGAGGCTCGCTGTGGTCAGCAATGTGAACATGGAGCTGGGGAGGTTGGTGGAGGGTGCGGAGCTGCCCTGAGACCTTGTAGGGAGTCTGTTGCGTCTGCCTTGGGGTGGGTTAAGCCAGGGCCCCTGAGGGCACACTGTGGGGCTGGAGCTGAGTGGGCACGTTCCCTCCTCCTGTCCCACCTGGCCTGTCCCTGGTAGAAAGCGGCCTTTGGCCTTGAAGGTAGGGGGCAACTCAGCAGGGAGCACACACAAGCCTGGTCAGGAGTGACAGGTATGCTTTCAGAAACCTAAATAAATTCTATTTTAAGTGTACAGTACAGTGGCATCAAGCATATTTGCAGAGCTGTACAGCCATCACCACTATTTCCCAAATGTTTTCATTGCTCCAAAGAGACTCTCCGCCCCAGTTCAGCAGCGGCTCCGCGATCTTCCTCCTCCAGGCTCTGGAACCTCGGCTCTGCTCTGTCCCTGTGAACTTAGTGTTCCTGATGTGTCACTTGAGGGGAATCGTGGCGATACTTTTCTTTCTGTGTCTTGCATGTTTCACTCAGTGTAACGTGTTCAAGGCTCACCTGTGTCCTAGACTGTGTCAGGTCTCTTCCCTCCCTGAGGCCAAGGAATCTCCCACCGCTGGGTGACCACACTCCCTGCTCCCTTCACCTGCTGATGGACACTGGGGTTGTTTTCGCCTGTGACCAGCGTGCATGACGTGCTGCTGTGCAGTGGGGCTGTGTGCACACTCAGCACACGCCTGCGCCCAGCCGGTCCTGGTGTCACACCCGAGGCAGCCTGCCAAGACCACCTCCATGGACTTTGCTCCTTTGATCTGATTTGTCCGAGATGAGATGTCACCTGGAGCTTGTCAGCTGCACTTACATTTTCACGGCCTTGGATTGGTGTAAAGCACAGAAGTGGGTGGGGAGCTGCTATGCTGTCCCCTCTTGTGTGGGTGGATCTCAGTCTGCAGACGTCACGCAGCCGTGTAGGTGTTCCCAGTGTGAAGACAGACAAGGCTTTAGGAATGTGCATGGGCCCTAACATGAAGCTCCTGGTTTACTGTCAGAGCCGTTAGAAAGCTGCTTTGCCAACACTGTGCTCACCCCCTTCATTTATAAGCTGAGAAAAGCCAAGGTGAGCAGGGGCCAAGTGGCTGGTCCCACCTGACAGGCCAGGCATCTGGGCCCTTCCAGGACAGGACGCTACCTCAAGCAGAGGCTGTGAGCGGTGTCATCTTTTTATCTCTAAGGTCCCTGGGCTCGCAGTGGCTGCTCTGTCTGGATTCGCTGCTGTCACGGGACGTGCAGGAGCCATCAGAGGCCATCTCCCCTTCCTCATGTTAGGGCTCATGGGACAGTGTCTGCAAAGTGTTCTGTCAAACGTCTTGATTTTCCAGAATTGACTTGATGAACGATTGCCTGACAATCCCTAAAACCCCACAATGTGTAATACAGATAATATGAATAGAGCCTGAAGAATTAGTTCCCTGTGGAATCCAGCCTACACTTTCTGGCAGAAGCAGGGCCAAGGAGAAAGCCCAGCACTGTGTGCAACAGAAATACCATTCTAAACCTTGATATTTTAGAACTTGTGGGGTGTGTCCACCTCTGCTTGGTGACTTTGACCTTCCTTTTCATTTTCAGGTGAGAAAGGGGATACTGGTGACATAGGACCCCCTGGCCCTAATGGAGAACCAGGTATGGCAGAGAGGGTCCAAGCATTTTTTAATAAAATGCATTAAAAATTGTGCTTTTGAAAAAAATGTAAACCATTAAATAAAAATACAACGGGCTGGCAAGCAGGGCACACGTGCCTGACGATCGTGCTCTCACATCGGTGTTCCAGACTTCGATTTCCTTTTGCCTGAGGTTTGAATGACTGACCCTCACAGGGCTATGGGCAGCCTGCCTGGTCTGCATTATTGTATTTAGGCCCGGATACCCTGTCCTCACATGGTCAGTCCTCACGTCCAGGTGCTCCTGGCCCCCAGGCCCCGTCCTTGTACTTTCTGGGTCATGGCCTCCTGTAGGCGTCCTTGCAGCTGCTCTCCCACAGCCTTCTGCTGAGACCGAAAAGCTCCCCAGGGACCTCTGGTCCAGCTCAGGGAGCCTTAGGTGAGCTCCCTGGTGAGCACCCACCTCCCGATGCCAAGGGACTAAGATGGGGCCTCCCATCCCCTCTGCCTGCTTCCTGCCATCCATCTCTGTTCTCTCCTTCTCTCTACTGCTGCTCTGTTCTCCCCACAGGGCAGGGCAGTTACTCCCATTCCCTGGACCTTGCCCCTGAGCACCCCACGCCCCGGCCCACTCCTGCACACCCCACACCCCAGCAGGCCCTACACTGCAGCCCCCACCTCCATATATCCCCACCCATACCTGCACACCCTACACTCACCCCCCCCCCCAGGCGTCCTCAAACTACGGCCCACAGGCTACATGCGGCCCGTGTAGGACATTTACCCAGCCTGCCAGGTGTTTTTGCCGCTGTTGCCTGTCCTGTTTTGCAGCTGACTCGTCCGGGGGCCGCAGTAGGGCCCTCTAACAGTCTGAGGGACAGTGAACTGGCCCCCTATTTAAAAGTTTGAGGATCCCTGCCCTATACCCTAGACGACCCCCACACACCACACACCCTGGCTCACCCCTCTCCCCCACATGCCCTATACCCCAGCCCACCGCCTGCACACCACACACCCTGGCCCACCCCCTGCACATCCTGGTTCACCTCCTCTCCCCCATGTGCCCCACACCACAGCCCACCGCCTGCACACCACACACCCTGGCCCATCCCCTCTCCCTCACATGTCCTACACCCCGGAACACCCCCTGCACACACTGGCCCGGCCCCTCTCCCCCATGTGCCCCACACCCTGACCTTCCCCCGGCACCCACCTGCTAAAATAGGCCTTTCTCCCCCAGACGTGTGCACCGCTGCACCCCCTAGCTGTGTGGGCCATACAGAAGGCACAGAAGGCCGTCTCCTAGAAAGATCTGATGCCCGGGTGCTGGAGCAAGGACAGGCAGTAGATTTCTGGGTAAAAATCTCTGTTCAGAACGCGCCTCACATACCAGAGAGGAGGAGGAGTGACCGCTTGAGAGTGGCCTTCCCTGAAACTTGGTCAGTGCCAGTGTATCTGAAATCTGCTATCATTGGAAGGGACCAAGTGCCCTTCTCCTGGGGCCACACCCTAGCCCCTGTAAATACGAACAACTTGGTTGAAATATTGGGGAGGTAAGAGAACAGGGTGAGGGGCCTGGAAGGGGAGGGATGCCCCGTGGTTGAGTCTGCACCGCTAGGTAAGAGGCCCTGGAGGGTCATGTGGGTCAGAAAGTTCAGGAGAAAGACAAGGATAGGAATCCACCTCCTTCCTCCTGGACTCTCTCCGGAAAGCCTCTATTGTCTCAGGCCTCAGTGAGCTTGAAGCTAAAATGTATGTTACATAAAACTTCCATTAAAACAAGCAACATAATCCCAAACAAACCATAGCAACAATCAATTTTCAAATGTCCAATGTGAGCACACAGGCTGTGTGTGAGAAGCAGGGAGGTGTAGGGGTTCTAAGAAGCCGGCTCAGCTTCAGCTGCAGAGGGGAGCAAGGCTGACGGGCCCAGGCCCCGAGGAGAGACGGCAGGCCGTGGAGGCAGAGGGCAGGGGCCTGTTCATGGGGCCCCCCCAGAGGACCAGCAGAGAGGCACAATCTGGGGAGTGGTCTGCACTCCCATGAGGGATGGTTGACTTTGATTCATTTTGTCACTCAGCCCTAGGGGCCTGTGAGCACCCGTGTGTTCTGGGCACTCTGCTGCTGGGGCTTCCTGTCCATCCAGGGGGCACAAAGAGCAGCTTTCCCTGCCATTCAGGCCAGACTGCCTGCCTGGGCTAGAAGCTGCGCTCCACACCCTCGGTGGGATGTTGGCCGGGGAGACTCTCTGCTCTGTGCACAGCAGGGGTGACCACGGCCTGTGCCCCGTATAGAGCGCTGACAGCCTCATGTAGGGTGAGCGCTGAGGCAACATCACGTAGAAGGACGGGAGATACGACCCTTATCTCAGCCAGGAGGCAGCTTCTCACTTCTCTGCTCCCACCTCCTGCTCTGCCCCCACCTCCTGCTGGTCCTGGACACTCAAGTTGTTCTCTCTCTTTGTGAGAATGGAGGTGTCTTCATCTCTGATGTCCCTTCCTGCCAGCCGCCTTCCAGCATCATTTAGACACATATGTGTTTCTTACCTCAAAACTGAGCAAAGCTGTTTGAAAGCCCCTCCACCCTCCCAGGCTCTCAGCCCCTTGGCAGCTCCACATCTGATCTCCTGAGAGTTCTTACCCAGGCCTCAGTTTCCCCTCCCACCCCTGACCTCTGAGTACTCAGCCATCCTTCCTTCACCCTGGACGCCCCTAGGCCACATGCCCCTCCGGCCTGTGGGTGATCCAGGTGTGTGGCTGCTCTGAGCTCCCTCCCCGAGTCCCTCATGTCACATTCATGCCTGTGATGCTAGTTCTGACCCTCCCCCTTATGTCTGTGGGTCCCACACCCAGCCAGCTATGCACGGTCTTTCCTGGAGCCCCTCACTGGACAGTGGTGTCTCCTTCAGCTCCTCTGTCCAGCCTTCCACACTCCCTCCCGTGGGCACTGCCCCCACTTTTCCAAATGTTCCAGACTCACTCCCTGGTGCCCTCTGGTTACTGCCCTGCTCTGCTCCGTCCCCACCCCTGCATCTGGGTGAGGCTGGAGATCATCACCCTGACAGCCCCCCCCCCCAATCCTCCCACCTTCTCAAAGGCCTGCGCAGTGCGGGTGGGACCCTCTTCCCTGAGCTGCCCTGGTCCAGCCTCTGACCCAGGCTGTCCCCGCAGGCATCCCCTGTGAATGCAGCCAGCTGCGGAAGGCCATCGGGGAGATGGACAACCAGGTGTCCCAGCTAATGGCGGAGCTGAAGTTCATCAAGAGCGGTAGGTCGTCCTGCTGCCTTCCCCTGCCTCCCGCCCGGTCCCCGCTGTGCTGGCAGGGGCACCGCCAGGTGTGGGCCGCCCAGTTTGTCCCAGCAGGGCTCACCTTCCAGCACTGCCCTGCCCTGCAGCTGTCGCCGGCGTGCGGGAGACGGACAGCAAGATCTACCTGCTGGTGAAGGAGGAGAAGCGGTACGCCGAGGCGCAGCTGTCCTGCCAGGGCCGCGGCGGCACCCTGGGGATGCCCAAGGACGAGGCCGCCAACGGCCTGATGGCCGCCTACGTGGCGCAGGCGGGGCTGGCGCGCGTCTTCATCGGCATCAATGACCTGGAGCGCGAGGGCGCCTTCGTGTACTCCGACCGCTCCCCCATGCAGACCTTCAACAAGTGGCGCAGCGGCGAGCCCAACAACGCCTACGACGAGGAGGACTGCGTGGAGCTGGTGGCCTCGGGGGGCTGGAACGACGTGGCCTGCCACATCACCATGTACTTCCTGTGCGAGTTCGACAAGGAGAGCGTCTGAGCGCCCGGACCCCGCACCCCAGGGCTCTGGGCGCAGGGTGGGGTGCGGCTGCGGGGCAGAGGGGGTAGTGTTTCCGGGAGTTAGAGCTCCACTGCCTGTATTCGTCGCCCAGATGTTCGTTATGTGATTATTAGTGCTCAGATTTGCACTTCCACAAAGCTCTCGCCTTCCTCCCAACTCTAAGATCAAATCTTTAACTATCTCAGTAGTTGATTAAGCATCACACAATTAAGGGTAGTAGGGTCCTGAATGACTGACTCTCTCTTCACTTCTGTATGGAAGAGAACCCACCTAACTCTGAGCAAAGTTCCTGTAAATTATGTTAATGTACAGGTTCCTTTCCGCATTTATCCAAGTATTCAATGTTGCTTTGCTTCAAACCCAGATTCCAAAACAACAATATAAATTCTCAGACTTTATTATGAGACGTGTTGTCATTTGTTCCCTCCCTTCTTTCCTCCCTCCTTCCTTCCTCCCTCCCTCCTTCCTTCCCTCCCTTCCTTCCTTCCTCCCTCCCTCCCTCACTCCCTCCTTCCTTCCTTCCCTTCCTCCCTCCCTTCCTTCCTTCCTTCCTTCCTTTCTTTTTCTTTTTTTGACAGAGTCTCATGCTGTTGCCCAGGATGGAGTGCTGTGGGGTTGGCCTTGCTCACAGCAACCTCAAACTCTTAGGCTCAAGCGAGCCTCTTTTCTCAGTCTCCTGAGTATCTGGGACTACAGGTGTCCACCACAACACCCAGCTAGTTTTTCTACTTTTAGTAGAGATGGGGTGTCACTCTTGCTCAGGCTGGTCTCGTGCTGAGCTCAGAGGATCCTCCTGCCTCGGCCTCCCAGGGTGCTGGGATTACAGGTGTGAACTCTCCCACCTGGACCATAAGTTCTCTTAATTTCTTCAATACTTATCTTAGCTATGGATTACTGTATAACAGATTACCCCCAAACTAAGTGGCTTAAGGCAGAACAATTTAGGAATTTCCAGGGCTAGGTACACTGCTTCAGGGTCTTTCTCCAGCTAGAACCAAGATTGACCATTATGAGGTTTGGGCAGCATTCAGCTCCTCAGGAGCCTCTGGACTCAGCCTTGGCTTCTTGCTGGCTGTGGGTCAGAGCTGCCCTTGGTCCCGTGTCATGTGGGCCTGTCTTGGGCAGCTCACAGCATGACTGCACCAGGTCCAGCTCACACAGGGGGGTGAATACCAGGAGGCAGGGACCCTCAGAGCCATTTCAGAAGTTGCCAGCACACTACTCTCAGTTCTTTTCTTTTTTTGTATTTTAGAATCCCTAATAAATATCCTCAGTTCTCAAAGAAAACACACGTACGTGCACACACAACCAGACTGGTGTCGTGGGGTCCCATATTTCTGAGTGTCTTTCAAGGGAGGCCCTGGCTGTCCTTTGTTCTGGTCATCTCTTTCAGACTGTGCAGAGAGAACTGCTTTGAAAGATAAAGACAGTAGCTCCCTGCCCCTGCCAGCCCCTTCGGAGAAAATGGCAGGCATGGCTGCTGCCCAGTTAATAGAGGGCTGGCATAACTCTACTTGCTGGAAAAGGTCCGGGTCTGCTTCTCCTCAAACCTGCTGAAATGGGGGCTCAGGGACCTGCCCAGAGAGGCCACTACCCTGGCCACTGCGGTCATCGTAAGTAACTAAATCCTTTGTCTCTGATCTAGGAGTCTTGTGTCTTTTGCCAATATCCATGATACTGAGGCTGTAAGTTGAGTAAAATGTCATATTTTTCATAGTTCTAGACAGGAGTTTCTTGATAGATCCATAAATTGAATCATTCATCTCCTCGGAAGGTCATAGCAAATTTACTCAGGAACGCTGGGTGTGAGAGGTCCTGGTGCGGTTGGGGTAGAATGCAGATGTAAGTGGAGGATGGGAGCCAGAGCAGCAGGGCCCTGCCTCTGCTGGTGGAAGGGATGGGCACAAGCTGCCAGGGTTTTGCGTCCTCTGCCCAGGCTGCGTATGAGAGGCCAGTTCTTCCTCCCACTCATGCTTACGTCCTTTGGGTGCATACAAGCTGCTCCATCTGCAAATCCACCGGCTTCCTGCTTGGCCACTCATCCATCCCCCCTCACAATGCTCCCTAAACCTCTGCTCTGTCTGCAGCGGACCCAGCAGGAAGGCCCTTCCCATTGTCTGAAGTGTGGGGGCTGCGGTGGTAGTGCAGGGGTGTGGGGAGGGCTGTCACCCGGCAGAGTGTCTCCTTGGTGGGTGGGTAAGTCCCCACCACTGGGCCCCACTCCTGGCCCACCCCGGCTCGGCTCTTCATGATCTGCAAACACATGGTTTACTCGGAGACTTGAGCAGACCGTGTCAGATGGGCAGGGGTGCCACTTGTGTGGTCACACGGGAACTGTGGCTATACTTCAGTGGCGATGCATTCAAGGTGACATGTACATACACGGTATAAGAAGCATCCTTCAACCCTTGTTCTCAATCAACTTTGCTCCAGATGGGGGTTACTCTTTCCAGACCTTTACCACACACACACACCCACACACATACACACCCACCCACGTCTACATACGGGTCTATGCGACCATTTTAAGAATGACTGTCTAATGGCTCACAGTCACTCCTTACCTCTCTTTTCTGCTGACAACACATCTTAGAACCTTCCCAGGCAGGTCTTGGGATTGCCTTGCCCCCTCCTCCTGCCGCAGAGCACAGGGTTTGTAAGGGTGAGGATGTGGTGACCTCCCACAGAGCTCTGAGAAGCCCTTCTTCTTGGGAGAAACATTTGTGTTGTCCCCACGTCCTCCCCCTTATGAATGACACAGCAATCAGGATCCTTGATCATGCGATAGCACCTCACCTGGACACTGAGCAAGCATGCTGACAGCCTTGGTGGGTGCTGCCCAGGCTCCAAACAGGTGAGTGGGAATGCGAGGATGCCATGTGGGGATGTCCTAGCCAGCCTCTCCTGCTGCTCTGGGTGTTACAAGCCTGGGGCTTGGAGCTGTGAGGAGGGGAGTACTTTGGCCCAGAGTGGCTTGTCCTGTTTAAGGAGGAGGAGCTCTCTTAAGGACTAGAGGTCTATATTTAATGGACAAGTCTTACCCATCATGCAGACTTCTCCCAAACATGTGTAGCCAGCGGGAATGTGCCATGGTTAAGCTGTCATGATGCTTGAGCCTACTCTGCCATGGCTGAGGGTCCCGCCGCTCCTGGCCCTAAAAGGCCTCATGCCACACTGGGGGTGTTGGTCTCTGTCCTCACCATGCCTTCCACCTCTTCCTCACCTGTCTGGCAGCACCTGCTGCTCATGACACCTCCCTGCAGCCCCACACCCAGCATCCTGGAGTGCAGGGTGGGGGCACTGCTCACATAACGGGTGGAGACACCACTTCCCCGTGCAGATTCTCCCCATTACCTGGTCACCAGGACTCCCTGCCAGCCCAGCCCTTGGCTCCACAGGGCTGTCCTCAGCGTTTTTGCCCAAATGCCCCCAGGGCTGAGGGCTGCCTCTCCCTCCTTCTCCTGGCCCTGTTGCCAACCCAAGGGTTCTTTTGCCTTCTTCCCCGTCAACTTGGGCAAACAGCCACCTGTTCCACAGCTCATGAGATGATTCGGCCGTGTCCCCAGCTGGACAGGCCTTTGATTGACAGTGTGAGCTTCACTAAGTTCCACAGACTCCTTAAGCCTCAGTTTTCTCATTTGTGGAATTTACAATTCTTATTTTAACTAAATGATTCTTGTGCCTACTGCTGGGCCTTGTGAAGTTGTATGAGACAATGCCCGGGGGGCACCCAGCATGGCTGAGTGCTGAGTCCTTGGCTCACAGACAGGGAAGCCCCAGGTAAAGGTAGTGATGAAGACCCAGAATGAAGTGTCCCCAGTTGTTCAGCATCATCTGGGACATTTGCCCAGTTTATTTGTGAGTTTATTCTCTGAGTACACCTGTGTGGATAGGTGATCACCCGGGGCCTTCACCCTGCTCCCTGCCTCTTAATACTTGAATACAGCAGACAGTGAGGAGTGTGGCATTGACTGTACAGTGACCGTGACAGGGAGGGGTGAGGTAGCTGGTGAGAGCGTTGGAGGGTGGAGGTTTCCTGTCAGAGCCCCCACTGCCCTGCACTGGCTGGGTGGCGTCCACAGGTTGTCCAGCAGCGGGGTCCCCTGGTGGTGGCCAGTGGGTTGGCTTAAGTGCCCTGCCTCAACAGGATGGGCCAGATAGGAGCTGGGTGGTGCTGGTAAGGGAGGGTCTGCAGTGGGACCCCTGTGCCATCCTTAGCTGGGAGCTCCGCTCTGCTCGTACCTGCCTTCCGGGTGGGGCTGTTCCTGGCACATCCTACACCCGTCTGGTCTCTGATTTCCCTGCCGTACAGGCACACAGGTGGACAGAAACCCCTCTGACCTCACAAGAAATTAGCGGGGTGCGCTCTCAGGGGTCCCGCCTCCCCTAGCTTCCTGTGGGGAAGGTGCCCTGATACTGAGCTCAGCGAAGGCGCACGTGGCCTTTACTCGTACCTGGTTAGTACATCCCGCAGGACTGCGATTGCTGTGAAGCAGGTGTGATAGGATATAAACTGGGCAGGAGGCCAGAAGCGCCGCCCCTAATTTAACGCCTTTCAGGAAGGGGCCCACTGTGCAGGCTGCAGATCTGATCTGTGAGGTGGGAGGAAAATGGCCTGATTAAGGGCAGAACTGGGATTTATTAGGCGCTGCACTGAGCCGTGACCAAAAATCTGGTATACATATTTTCTCACAGCCCTCTAGCCGTGGGCTGAGACAGATGAACAGGGAGACGCAGCCCGGGGCAGCCTGGCGGGTGAGTGAGGATCGTGATTCCACAGCGCCACCCAGCGGGGACGGCGGGCACCGTGACAGGCAAGAAGGGTCTCACGGCGTAGGGGCCTTGTGGTTCTCCTGGATGGTGTGTGTGGATGTATGGTATTGTGTGTGCCTAGTGTGTGAATTTTATGTGTGCATATTGTGTGTGTGTTATTATGTGTCCATGCGTTTCTGCATGTGTTTCATGCGTGTGTGTGCACAGGCGGAGGGAGCAGTTGGGGACGGGCAGAAAGAACAAAAAGCAGGGTGGGAGCTGATCTGGCCACAGATGGAGGCAGAGGCTCTGCGGTGTCTTCAAGTGACAGACTCAGGACTAGTCAGGAAAAGGCGTGGGTTCTGAGCGTTGAAGGCAAGATGAGCTATAGGTGGAGGGACGGTCCCCAGCTCCTCTGTACACCGCAGGCCACAGTCAGGAAGAAATGAATCCTGTGCTTGGTCACGCAGGCTGTTTCCTGATGGACGTCATGCAGCCCCCGTTATTCCTGCCTGGATGTTCCTGTCCCTCTCAGGCCTGGGATGCTGCTCTTCCAGGCTGCCACAGGTCAGAGGCCAGCGCAGGGTCACTGCTTTGGAAAGTGCCCGCTTTGCCTCCCTGTCTGCACCTGGGGGCTGGGGCAGGGGAC